ATGCGTTAATTTTTTTTCAAGATTACGTAAACAGCAAGAATCTTCAGGGGCAATAACTCGTAAAAGACTTCGATGAATCTTTTCGCAATGAATAGAATGAAAAGCCCTCTTGATAAGTCTAAAGCATTGGTGACAGTTCTGTATCTTTACAGTTTATGGTTTCAGAGGAGTAGCGATAATAAGCTATTCTTGCAAAGGGGCAATAACTTCATGAAGGGTCATCGATTGAAGTCGTTGGGTCAAATCAGAGAATCATTTAAGTAGACCATAAGTCGAATAATATGAAAGATACGTCTCTTCAATAAGTTGCGAAACAAAAAATCAGCAGAAGAAAAATAATACTAAGTAGAAACTCATTGCGAGCAATGAGGGGTCTTCCATCTGATTTTGAAAATAAAAATGTAAATTCAAGCTGAAAAAGTGATAAAAAAAATCAGACACTCTGGAGATTAAACCCTGGTCATCAGTGTGAAAATCCAATACGCTAACTATTACGCCATTTGGACTCCCACTTCAAAGTGAAAATGATGAATATCTTGAGTTTGGATTTATCAATTCGAAAACAAATTATATATTTAGTATTTTGAAAAGAGGCTCTCTTAACCCTACAAATATTACAGAAAAATACTGAAGTTGAAAAAATTGACTTTTTAAATTCGCTTACGGTATCGACCAGAAGTAATGACGACACATGAAAAGATCCCCTCTCCAATCTAGAAATGATGTTCTATCATCTTTAACAAGTCTCCAGTTCATATCTTTAGCCATTCTTGAGAACATTCACGAACAAAATTTCATTTTAAAATCAGGAAATTGTCCTTAACTTGGCTTTAGAACCGAATTTACCAAAAAAAGGAATTTTATATAAAATTCATATAAAGATTTTGAATCCCTGAAAATTTCAAAGAAATTCATTGAATAGTTTTCGAGAAATAATAAACAGAGGAAAATCAATAGGGCTTTCCACAGAAAGGTGGAAAGCCCTAATAACTAGAAACTCTTTGTGAGAAACAAGAGGTCTTCCATCCGAAGAACCATTATGTAATATTCTTTGTATGTAAAACTACATTTATATGTATGTATACTATAAAGACACCTAAAAATATAATGTGGGTCTTTAAAAATTACCAGGATTTTAAAGATTTTTTATTATAAAAAAAGGAAAAAGCGGAGAAGTCACACAGTAAGAAGTTGTGTTTGTGAAACACTGATGCCCCCATATGTCAACATAGCAAAAGTTCAACTTTCTCAAATGCAAAACATGTTGCTACCTAAAGTAAGGTCTCACCTATAAAATATGAATGCCCTAGCAGCAACCATTGAAAAGATATGGAAAAGGTTAAAGTTTTTCAAAAGTAAGTCAAACATCAAGGTCAAGGTCAAATGGTCAAAATTAATGGTGCCCAAGGAAAGGTCTTTTCACAAGAAATACACACATGAAGTATGAAAGCGGTAACACAAATCGTTCAAAAGTTATGGCCAAGGTTAAAGATTTTCAAAAGTACGTCAAACTCCAAGGTTAAGGTCATCGGATTACAATTGTTGGTATCCAAAGGAAGGTCTTGTCAAATATTATACATATGTGAAGTTTGAAAGCCCTTGCACCAACCTTTCAAAAGTTATTGCCAAGGTTAGTTTTCCAAAATAGGTCAAACTCCAAGGTCAAGGTCAAAGGATCAAAGTTGTTGGTATCCAAAGGAAGGTCTTGTCACAAGAATTACATATGTGAGGAGTGAAAGCCCTAGCACCAACCATTCAGAAGTTATGGCAAATGTTAAAGTTTTCCAAAAGTAGGTCAAACTCCAAGGTCAAGGTCAAATGGTAAAAGTTGTTGGAATTCAGAGGAAGGTCTGGTCACAAGGATTACATATGTGAAGTATGAAAGCCCTAGCACCAACCATTCAAAATTCATGGCCAAGTTTAAATTTTTCCAAAAGTAGATCAAACTCCAAGGTCAAGGTCAAGGTTGTTGGTATCCAAAGAAAGTTCTTGTCACAAGGATTACATATGTGAAGTATGAAAGCCCTAGCACCAACCATTCAAAAATTATGGCCAAGGTTAAAGTTTGGTAAAATTTTGCAAAAGTAGGTCAAACTCGAAGGTCAAGGTCAAATATAATGGTATCCAAAAAAAGGTCTTGTCACAAGGAAAGCACATGTGAAATATGAAATTCCATTGTTTCAACCAATCAAAAGTTATGGTCAATGTTAAAGTTTTTGCGGACAAACAGGCAGACAGACAGACAGACAGACAGACAGACAGACGGACAGTCAGGGCAAAAAATATATACCCCTGAATCTTCAATACGGGGGCATAAAAAAAGTCAAATATCATTTATAAAGATGAAAACCTAAATTTAAGCATAAAATGAGGGGAAAAAAAGTGGGACATAGTCTATATTAATCCAAATCGCCTGTGTGAAAAGTAAATATGGAACCCACTATACCAGTGCAATGTACCAGCCATCTTGGACGTTTACTTTGCACTCATTGCCTGACGTAAAGAGGGTCAGGCAGGCTAATTTTTTTTTTTCAAAGTATGGAATTATAGCATGAAAGCTAGCCAGCCAAATTTTGTGCAAGCAGATTAACATTAGAATTTGTTACTTGAGTTTTTACAATAACTGTTAGCAAAAGAAATAATCTGTTAATGATGAAAACTATTGATGTGTTTACTTCCTTTAATCTTTATGCATTCAATTTTTTATTATATGAAATTCCAAATACAGACATCATGTAATCCTTTTCTGCACTTCTATACTACTGCATCAGTCCATTTGTCTACTATATACTTTTCTTTGGATCGTATGTTCTATTGAAAAGGTGTGATAGCTTCAATGAAATTTTTAAAAAGTATCTTCTTATAGCCTGATTTTTTACCTTAAGAATGTGTATTTATCATATTGTACATATAACATAATGTATATGTTTAAGTTACACTGAAGCAGTGAATTCCCCAAGTTTTTCTTCATATTTTATTTTCCTGTTAACCCCAAAAGTGGACTATTCTGATAAATTCCACATTCATGAAAAGACTGGAAAGTTTGGAGCAAAACATGTCTCCCCCTACGATGGTCAAGGAATCTGATACCATTTATGTTTATTAAACAGTCTTTGAAAAAAAAAAGGTTTTTTTCTTATTTTTCTGGTTTTCTATTCTTTTAATAGAAGATGAGCCCGGCATGCGAAAGAAATTTTTGCCACGTAATACTTACTATAAATATTTATTGCTTTAGTCAGGCAAGCTTCTTGAAAAGCTATTACTTACTAGTATAACACATTATGTATTACCATTGAGCAATACCTCTAACTTTTCATTCGTTTTTGGAGAGGACCTGTATAGGCTCTGATGTCCAATCCAATTATGTAATTTGACTTTACATAATAAAATACTGATTAGCTATGATATATATGAATCTGGTTCGCCTGTGTGAAAATCCAACACGTTCACCATTATGCCTTTGGGCCCCCCCCCCCTTTCCAAAGTGAAAAATAGTGAATATCTAGTGTTTGGACTTATCAATTTTAAAACAAACTAGATATCATTGAGATGGTGGCCATCTCAAAGGGCCCCGCTTTCAGCAATGAACATGGAAATGTAAGGTAGCTGAAAAGGGTTTATTTTGAAGAGGAACATATGTGTACTATTCAGGGATGTGTTGTTTGAGTCTAAAGGGCTTCTATGTTATCCTCATTATCATAAAAAATGGCATGAAAATCACGAGTGCTCAACACCTTCCATCAAAAAACGGCACAAAAATCACGAATGCTGCATATCCTCTATGAAAATTCCTGCATATCCTCTATCAGAAATATGGAAGGAAAATCACAAATGATCCATATCCTAAGTCAGTTGGTAAGGTTTGAGGCTGATTGGACTTAAGGGAAAGAAATTATGCACCGAACAAAGATTTTAAACAGAGAGGCTATTTTTGAAATTGACCCTTGACCTAGAAACTTTGTTTAAGGTCACTGCATATCCACTGACAGGTGGCACTCTGTGAGTGAGTATGAGCCACATTGGACCAAGGGGAGAGAAGTTATGCTCTGGACAAGGACTTTTCATATAATTCTGCTATGACCTTAAACTTAGACCTAGAAACATGGTTCAAGGTCACTGCACACCCTTTACCCAAAGGCACTCTGTGGGTGAAATATGAGCCAGATTGGGTCAAGGAGAGAGAAAACATGCTCTGGACAAAAATTTTAACAGAGAGGCTTTTTTTTACCTTGACCCTTGGCCTAAAAACTTTGTTCAAGGTCACTGCATATCCATTGACCAGTGGCACTCTGTGACTGAAGTATGAGCCACATTGGATCAAGAGGAGAGAAGATATGCTCCGGACAAGGATTTTTCATATAATTCTATTATGACCTTGACCTTAGACCTAGAAACATCGTTCAAGGTCAATGCACATCCTTTACCCAAAGGCACTCTGTGGGTGAAGTATGAGCCAGATTGGGCCAAGGAGATAGAAGATATGCTCCGGACAAGAGATCTTGGACAGACAGATGGAAGGACAGACTGATCACTATAAGGCACCCGCAGAGCGGGGCCCTAATTATATATTTAGCATTTTGAAAATGTTTCTATTAACCCTACTAATTTCATCTTTAGCCATTTCTTAGATCCTCCGAGGACAAAATTTCATTTTAAAATCAGAAAATTGTCCATAACTTGGCACTGGAACCGAATTTACCAAAAAACGGAATTTTATATAAAATTCATATCAAGATCTTTTATCCCTGAAAATTTATTTAAAACCTATAGACAACACACTACAGTGGACAAAACATTTAGTAATAAGTCATCAGAATGACAAAGGTGACAGTAAAATAATGTATTCTTATTAATGAATGTTCATATGTCAATGTATTCCCTGATACCATGATTACAGTAATATTTATCATTTGTGACTGACATGAATATGTTATTAATTCATATGGGGGTAATTTGAGATATTTCCATATATTTTTGTTTTGCACAATAAATACACTTACATAGTATGCATGCTTCAATTTTTTGGCATCTTCATCTGCATCTGGAGGTGGGTCTGGACATTTCCTGTTTCAATATTCAAAATGATTGAATTTAAATCAAATTACCCTAATTGACATTTGATTTACATTTCTCAATATACAAAATCTTGAAACCTCAAAAACTGCAAAAACAAAGTTTTAAGCTATGCTATAGCCACTCTCTTTTACATATAGCTCTCAAGTTCTGAAATCTTCAATCAAATTTAGAGTACTTACCTTGCTACATGATCGACCAGACCAGCAAGAACAATCTGTCTGAGAAGTTTGGCCTGTAAATCATTTGGGGGATCCAGTTTGGGGTCTACGCACAAGTTGGCATCAGAAATAATTGCATTTACTAAATGTAAGAAAAGTTGAATTATAATAAAACTTCAAAAATGTGAAGAGGAGTTTTACTCTTAATATTTTTAAAACATAAAAAATTTAGTATTTTCATGAAATCAAGATTAAAGTTAACCAGAAGTCTCTGATGAGACTGTAGCTCTACTGGTTTGTATTTACACCAAAGGAAGAAAAAAGTAGCACTTGCACTTGAAACTATGCAACAGCAATAAATAGAATAATGGTCCTTGATATAGTCTCTTTGTTGCAAGATTTATTGCAATCAGACTAAAACTGTTGAAGGAGCACCCTTCCGAAAAAAATTTCATCAAATTTTCTATTTCTAGTAGCCATGGCATTACCATTATTTGAAATCAAAAACCAATACATAGAATTATTTATCTGAGTTAGAAATTTCCTTGTGTCTAAGTTATATTGAAATCAGACCAAAACTGTAGGAGAAGTAGAGTTTTGAATGTATTTTACAGAAATTTTTATTTTAAGTAACCATAGCAACAATGCTTACCAAAATCAAAAACCCATAAAAAGAATTAGATATCTTAATATAGTCTACTTGTGTGCTAAATTATACAGAAATCAGACCAAAACTGTAAGAGAGGTAGTAATTTGAATGTACATTGTATTTCACAGAAATTTCTATTTTTAGTAACCACGACAACACTGTTCTTCCAAATTGAAAACAGATGCACTGAATTATGTATCTTAGTGTAGTTAACATGTGTGCCAAGTTATAGTGAACTCAAATAAAAAACTGTAGGAGGAGTAGGATTTTGAAAATATTTCACAGATTTTTTTTTTAGTAACCATGGCAACACCATTCATCCAAATCAAAAATTGATGCAGAAAATTATGTATCTTTGTGTAGTCTACTTGTGTGCCAAGTTATATTACAATCAGACCAAATCTGTAGGAGGAGTAACATTTTAAAGGAATTTCACATACATTTCTATTATTATTAACCATGGCAACATTGCTCATTGAAATCAAATATGTATGCACTAATTTAGATGTCTTAGTGTAGTCTACTTGTGTGTCAATTCATATTGAAATCAGACCAAAACTGTAGGAGGAGTAGCATTTTGAAAAATTGTTTACAGACAGACAGATGGACACCTTACTATCACATTAGCTCTTCTGGTCTCTGACCAGTAGAGCTAAAAATTCCAAAAATAATGTATATGCACACAGCTAGACACAACCTAACAGAAAGCCAACCCCAACTGAACCCTGGGTTTGCTTTCTGGGTTCACTTGGGGTCTGGTAGAGTGGACCCCTAGTGAACCCAGAGCGCATCCTGTGCGGACCCTGCACAAACGCCCACAGCAAACCCCGATTTTAGTAGTGCACCCAGAAAGCAAACCCCACATTCACTATTAAATAACAGAGCTTTCAATCAGGATTATGCATTGACCAATCATCACGTCAACCAGTCAGCATGCCGGTTGGCATTTTGGAGTAAAAAACACTGTACACCTACAGTAAAAGCAATGTGTGTTAATGTACAATTTTTATTTATGTACTTAATATTTATAAATTATATTTCTCTAGAACACATCGATTACAAGATTTGTAGTTCGGATTTATTTGTCTAAACTTCATTACAAGAACATATTTTTTCATTGATTGCCTTAAGATTATAAAATTTATTTAATGTTTGATAGGTACATGTAAGCAGTGGCCATCATGTATCTATATGTATAACCATCCACCTACTGAGGAGTTATTTTGGAGTGTAAAGAGCAGTGAAGGTGCCATCTTGTTTTTAATCGACATTTCGTTAAAGCGTGTATATATATAATTTTTTTGTTGGGGGGGGGGGGGGAGCATGCTAATGAACAAATTTGATGTAAAAAAATTCAATGTTTATTATTACAATGTACATATAGATGTATTTATTTTCCTTTTCGGAGAAAAAGTTGGAGCACCTAACCAAAACTGTACCAAACAAACAATCAAATCATTTCAATCTCTTTGTCGTCAATTGGGCTGCCGCTTATTTATATTTTTTTTTTAATTATAATACGATTCAATAATTAATTGAAAACAAAAGAAATTAAAAAAGAAATGTGTATATTTATTTATTTTTGGTGGGGGTAAATATACCCGATTTTTGTGTTCTTATCATCAATCCACAGTCATTTAATAAAACACATTTCATCAATCCATAGTCATTTAATAAAACACATATATACGACATTCCTGAATGTAAACAACTATTTTCTGGTAAATTACTGTTCCCGGCCCAAAATATTTTTAACAAACCTTAGTCACTCAGTTATCACAAATATTTGTGTAAATAAAAAAAAACACAAAAATTGTCCTCTCAAAACATTGCAATGCAGATTTTCATCTTGGCGAATCCATTCTCGCTAAGTGATAATCCAATGTAGAAAATACATCTAGGGTTAAATTCTGGTAATTTTATTGATGTCCTCCATCTGTCACTTACAGGTATACGTGCTACCTATGGCCACTGAGCAAAAAAGAACAATTTGAACTACTGTACTGTATATTTGGAAAATACAAGGGGCAGGGCTTAGAGGCGGTAGGATAAAACAGGGTCAACTTCACGCTTGAGTGAAAGTGAATGCCAGGCTTGCTCTAGCAGACCAAGAGCTGACCCCAAGCGAATGTGTAGCAAACACAGAGTGCACCCAACATACTTCTATATAAAATAATATATTGTGGTCCTGTCCTACACCCAGCTCCACCCTACCCCCAGGTGTTATGATTTGAACAAACTTCATGGTGGCCCACTCCCATTGTGGCCCAACCCAACCTCACTGGGGTCGTGATTTGAACAGATTCTACACTACCTGAAGATGATTCCACAAAAGTTTCATACTTTCTAGTGCAGTGCTTCTTGAGAAGAAGATTTTTATACTACAGGCCCATGGTCCACAATGCTCACCTGAGTCAAAATGGCCCTGTTGTTCTTCATCAGCAGATTTCTTCTCCTATATATTCATATGTAAAGTTTGATCGCCTGTTCTAGGCAAACCCTACCCCCAGGTGCCATGCTTTGAATGAAATTGAACCTTAACTTTTTCAGGATGCTTCTATATTTATATAACTAATCATGGCTTTGCTGCTCTTGAAAACAGAATTTTTAAGATGTCTGCCACTCTACCCTGGGGGGGGGGGAGGGGTGTGTGTGTGTGTGGGGTTGGGGTTGGGGTTGGGGGGTGTCATGATTTAAACAAACTTGAATCTAAACTACCTGAGGTTGCTTCCATATCAACATGACTAATCATGGCTTTGTTGTTCTTGAGAAGAAGATTTTTAAAGATATTTCCTATATATGTTCTTTTGTAAAACTTTGATCTCCCATTATGGCCCCATCCTACTACTGGAGGATGCCTTGAACAAACTTGAATCTACAATATCTGGGCATGCTTCCATATCAATATGACTAATCATGGCTTTCCTGTTCTTGAAAAGATTTTTAAAGATTTTTCCTATATATTCCTAGCTTAAACTTTGATCCCCCATTGTGGCCCCACCCTACCCCAAGGGATCATGATTTGAACAAACTTGAATCCACACTACATGAGGATGATTCCATATCAATATGACTAATCATGGCTTTCTTGTTCTTGAGAAGAAGACTTTTAAAGATTTTTAAAACTATGTAAAACTTTGATCACACATTGTGGCCCCACCCTACCCCCAGGGGGTCATGATTTGAACAAATATGTATCTACACTACCTGAGGATGATTCCAAATAAATATGACCAATCAGGTCTTTGTTGTTCCTGAGAAGAAGATTTTTAGAGATTTTTCCTATAGAGTGCTACCTCGGCATATTGCCAACTTTTGTCCAAGACAGATTTTGGCATTAAAGCGAGGGTGGCAATATAACAAATTCTGCCATAATTTACGATTCAGTTGGTAATCAAAACAAAATAAATAGATTACGTAATTTATTTCAGTTACAATCTATTTATGTCTTATGTGTATATTGGCAACTCTCATTTCTTTTTGAAAAAAAAGTCATTATTATTATTATTATTGATTTTTTAAAAAAAATATTTTGACTGAAAAGAAATGAAATGTCAGAATATTGAATACATCAATTTCCTTTCGTCATGCTCTAAAAATTTAATAACCCGATGACAAAGATGTCAGTGGCCGTTATAGCCTCTTGGTATAAAAAAGTTTTTGAGAATTATCATTAATTTCATCTGAATTGAAAGTAGATTACTTCACCGTCTCAAGAATTTCTGAATTGGTTAAAAAAAGCATCATGACTGACGAATGGTACATGTAAGTCACATGTCAGAATACTTCAACCCGTTATATTAAACATTCTTATGTAAGCTAGTACCTGTGCACTTCTCTTCCGATTCAAACCAATATATGCCCAACAATTAAAGAAAATTTCAGGGCTAACGGAATCCCTAATATTTTCATGTGCGGAATTATAGTAGTCTAAAAATAGTTATGGGGTTTCCTTTTTGATTGATAGAATGTCTTCTTAATCTAAGGGGACACAAATAAATTTTTGCATTTATTATGGTTTTGTGCATTATCCATGATAAGCAATAATCGGCGATTTACAATCAAATAAATCAAATGTTGATCAATCTTTTTGTTTTTGCAATCTAAATTTGTACGCTTTCTCTCACCTGACGTTTCCATTAGTGTGATGAAATAATTCTTCTATCTTATAAACACACGCCAAAGACATTCTTAATTTTGAGTTTTATACTACGATTATCTTTAATTTAGCTCAATTCCTTGTCCAGCCAGTCACGCTTCACCGCAACCACTGTCAAATCACAGGTGTGGTGTCTAAATTACCGACACACGCTAGATAATTGGCATTGTTACCGAGGGTTTTCCTTACATAATTTGACCTTTTCTTTCCCAAAACCAAAGGCGGATGGCAATAAGCGGGGGTGGCAATATAACGGGTGTATTAACACAGGGGGAAATCCGTTCTTCGAGAATTCCAGGCAATAAGCACGGTGGCAATATAACGGAGGGCAATA